AAGAAACTTCAGCCACCAAATACAACGCCGGTAATCTTCAGACGACCCCTAGTCCCAGCACACTTAACACGAAATAAAGAGATGGATGTATCAGCGGTTTCAGATACATCCACAACTTTTAGCGAAAAAAGGAAAAGAGATTTCGTCAACTATAAAGAAAACGATCCTGATACCGACAGCTCACTCGCGAGCGCTGGTGCTGAGAGCAAAAAGAAGAAACGAGGCTGGCCGAAAGGCAAGCCAAGAAATACCAGGTCGAGGGAGGACTCCCGGGAGAGCTTGGTGGACCCTAGCTCGCCCAAGGGTCCAGACGAACAAAATGTAGAAGATCTCCATAAGTGATAAGAATTCTGTGATAATTGTATATTAAACTCTATTTTATAATATTTATTTACCTGTGCACGTATATACTTTTTTTTTCCTAAATTTTATTTTATACTAATTTATTACTAGTGTATAAAGTCTGTGGGTAATTCTGTGTAAAACCTTTTATTAAAAATTACTTAACAATGACCACTTTAATACAGTGGAACATGAATGGATGTATAAATCGTTATCCAGAACTTAAAATGATAATCACAGAAAAGGCACCTACCTGTATTTGTGTCCAGGAGACACATTTCGCTCCTGAAAGTAATTTCAACCTGCGAGGCTTTGACTGCTTCCGGAAAGATGTCATCCCAACACATCGTTCGAGAGGTGGAGTAGCTACCTTCATGAAAAAAGAATTACACCCTAGAGAAATACCTTTAAATACCCCACTCCAGGCAGTTGCAGTTCGTACAATGGTGCCAAATAAAATTACAATCTGTAATATCTATTTACCAGATGGAAATTGGAGCTATAACCAAATGATAGATATATTTATGCAACTGCCCTCTCCTTTTGTTGTAGTTGGCGATTTCAATGCGCATAACCCCTTGTGGGGATCACAATCCTTAGACCCTCGAGGGCAGAGAATAGAAGAGATCATAAACGAGTTAGGGCTCGTTCTTCTAAATACAGGAGAAGGAACCTTCTTCAACGCTCGATCCCAAAACTTCTCTTGCATTGATTTATCTTTGTGTAGCTCAAATATCGCACACTTGCTGACATGGAACATTCTCGAGGACCACTTACACTCCGACCACCTACCTATATGCATCAAGATAGCAGGTGATCTTCCTCAAAGCTCCATTCACCCCACCTGGCAAATGAACAAGGCGAACTGGAACTTATACCGGAGTAAAATTGTTCCTTTCGAAATCAACAATGACGTTGATGAGTCAACAAGGTCAGTAACAGAATCCATCGTCAACGCAGCCATTGCTAGTATCCCTAAGAGACAAAACTCTAATAGAAGACGCACTGTGCCATGGTGGAGCAATGAGCTATACCAGGCTCTCGAAGAGAAAAAAGAGTTACTGAGGATTTTTAGAAGAAACCCAACTATGGAAAATATGGTAGCTTTTAAGAAACAAAGAGCCAAAGCACGCAGGTTAATTTTAAATAATAAAAAATCATCTTGGGAGCAATACGTTTCTGGTATAACGAAAGACACACCCTCAAATGAAATATGGAGTAAAATTAGATCCATTGCAGGCAAACATTACCAAAACCCTCCAAATATACTAATTGTAAATAATACCGAAGTCACAGATCCTATCGATATACCCAATGCTCTAGCATCCCACTTCCAGGAATCCAGTAGCACGCAAAATTATGAACCACACTTCATAGAAACGAAAACAACAGTTGAAGCTGTAGAATTGAATTTTCAAGAATCAGTAAAATCAGACTACAATTTACCTTTCTCATCCACCGAAATGACGGACGCGCTGGAAGAATTACGTAATTCAGCGCCTGGCCCTGATTCGGTTAACTACGAAATGCTTCGAAACTTACCCGAAACAGAAAAAAATGGGTTACTGCTACTATACAATAAGATTTGGTCCGAGGGGGCACTACCAACCCAATGGAGGGAAGCAATTGTAATCGCTATTCACAAAGTAGGTAAAGATCCCAAGTATGCAAACAACTACCGACCGATCTCTCTTACTAGCTGTATTAGTAAATTATTTGAGAAAATGATAAATAAAAGGCTTGTGTGGTGGCTGGAGGTTAATAACAAGATTTCCAACCACCAATCTGGGTTTCGCAAATATAGATCTACCATTGACCAATTGGTCTACTTAGATACGGCTGTCCAACTTGCATTTGCCGAACGTAAGCACCTGATTGCCGTATGCTTCGATATTGAAAAGGCCTACGACACTACGTGGAGGCGTGGAATCATTGACACGCTGTACCATTGGGGCCTACGTGGGGAATTAATAAAATTTATCCATAATTTCATGCAGGACCGTTATTTCAGGGTTCGGGCTGGAAATATTTTTTCAACCAGCCGAACACACAAGAGAATGGTATACCTCAGGGTTCAACCCTGAGCGTTACTTTATTCTTAGTAGCAATTAACCGCTTGCTGGAAGTAGTAGACCCCGAAGTTGGCAGTTGCCTATACGTAGACGATATGACCATATTCTATTCGTCCGTCGATCTAGAACACTTGAAAGACACACTTCAAAGGGCTATTGACCAGATTGCTACCTCTGCTGAAAACATGGGCTTTAAATTTTCCACCTCTAAAACAGCTTGTATCCACTTTTGTCGACTACGAAGGTCACACGACGATCCGATATTGACACTGAAAGAGACCCCAATCCGATACTGCGATAGTATTAGAATACTTGGGCTAATTTTCGACAAAAAACTATACTGGAAGGAACACATACAGGACCTAGCTACCAGATGCAAAAGAGCCACAAATATTATAAGATGCTTATCGATTATCATGGGGAGCAGACAGAGAAGTACTTTTAACACTCTACAAAACATTGGTTCTATCTAAAATGAATACGGAATGTCTTTGTTCGCCGCAGCAAGGAAGTCACACATCAGAATCTTAGAAAAGGTCCATAACCAGGGAATCCGACTATGCATAGGAGCTTTCAGGACAAGCCCCGTAACATCTATATATTGCGATGCTGGTATTCCTCCTTTATCATACAAAAACAAGTTTCAACACTAAATTATGCAATCCATGTGTGGGCACAACCAAATCACCTGAATCACCGCATTATCTTCAATGACGAAGTAAGTAAACTCGCTTTATCATAATCGACCAACTATTACTAGGCCAATTGGAGTAAGAATACAAGAACAACTCAGGACCCTTGGGTATTCCCTTCCAATGTATACCCTATTGGCTTCTCCAGAACACCACCCTGGTGTATTTCTCAACCAAAAGTACTTCTTGAATGCTCCTCAAATAAGAAAAGCGAAACTAACCCTTCTGTCTTTGTCCAATCCTTCCTAAACGTAATTAATACCTACGACTACCACTCCGCTATCTATACAGATGGCTCGAAAACTCAAATAGTGTAGGAAGTGCATTTACAGATGGTGAAAATGGCCGAAGCTTCTCCCTAAACCCGATGTCATCCGTTTATCATGCAGAACTTTACGCTATCATAAAAGCGTTGCAGTACATAGAAAATAAAGAAGAAGATGGTACCTACCTTGTATGCTCTGATTCCAAGAGCTCTTTAGAAGCAATTCAAAAACCCTACAGTACTGATCCTATGATCCAAATGGTGCTAGACTTAAATCACGGTCTCAAACTAAGGAGAAAGGACATCATCTTCGTATGGACACCAGGACACGTGGGAATACGTGGCAACGAACTTGCGGACCAAATGGCGCGGAATCCCCAGGTGGCAGCTTCACTAGAAGACCGCACTGTCCACCCAAGTGATCTCAAAGCACACCTGAAAAATAAAATACTGGATGAATGGCAACGCACCTGGAGCCAAGGAAATGATAAATTGAAAGTACACAAACAACACATCAACAAGTGGTACTTACCCTCCTCGTTATCAAGACGGGAACAAGTTGTCCTAACGCGTTTGCGAATAGGACATACAAATCTCACACACCTCCATCTTATCGTGGCGAATCCCCCGCCTCGATGCAGAACATGCAACAACCAACTATCCATAGAACACGTTCTGCTCGAATGTCCTTCCTATTATCAGGCTCGCCAACGCTATCGTATACCAAACACAATACCCGAGTGCTTCAAAGGCGAGGCCCACATCCTGCGAGTCTTAGATTACCTGAAGGTATAAATATATTTAAAAAAATTTGAAAATTGTAATTCCAAGTGAAGAACGAACCTTATTTTATAACGAATTGACCCAACACATAGGAAACCTATGATCCGGGATGCCCTGGAACAAAACAAATGGATCAGTATCTATACTACATGTGTAGGAAAGTACTTACTTACCTGTGTATCTTGCCTGAATATGAATGTGTGTACACGAAAGCAAAACAGCTGCTGAGGAATATCTGAAAGATGGAAAGGAACATAAATATTACGTACACAAATAAATCAAATATGCTATTGATACTTTCCCTGAAATGAAAAGAAGCACCCAGATCTACCCCTGGGTGAGAAATGACCTATATGGGAGGAGGGATACGGCAAATGACCTCAGCAGTCGACGCCGTGGGATTTAAAAAAAAAAAAAAAAAAAAAAAAAAAAAAAAAAAAAAAAAAAATAAAATAATAATAATAATAATAATAATAATATAATAATAATAATAATAATAAATAATAATAATAATAATAATAATAATAATAATAATAATAATATAATAATAATAATAATAATAATAATATAATAATAATAATAATAATAATAATAATAATAATTGCTGGGAACCTGAAATTAATAAAGAAAATCAAATCTGGGCTACTGTTGGAAACCAGTACCGCAACCCAGGCAAACAGACTTTTGCAAACACAAAGAGTTGGAGATTACAATGTTGTAGTTAAAGCGCATTCCACGCTTAATTACTCCAAAGGAATTATTACTTGTGCTGATCTTTTGAACTCCACTTTGGAGGAAATATTGGACGGCCTGAAAACAGAAGGAGTTATTGACGTAAAACGTATGATGCGTAGAAGAGGTGAGGAACTTATAGAAACACCAAATCTCATTCTCACTTTTGATAGACCCAATCTACCTAATAAAATTAAAGCTGCCTTCTACCACCTTGATGTTCGCCCTTACTACCCAAGCCCTTTGCGGTGTTTCAAATGCCAGAAATTTGGTCATACATCCCAGAAATGTCCTAATACCGAAATGTGTACTTGTGGTCAACCCAATCACCCAGGAGAGCCGTGCAATGAACATAAGAAATGTATCAACTGTGAAGGACAGCATGCTGCTGATTCTAGAGAATGTCCGCGGATGAAGGAAGAAATTGTCATCCAAAGAGTGAGGACGCTAGAAAAAATTAGTTATCTGGAGGCAAAAAGGAAAGTAATTAGCTCATCTCCCCGGGTGTCATACGCTCAAGTTACCGCTACCCCAAGTGCTACAGTTAATAAACTTGTTGAAGAACTCCTTCCTCTGCTTTCAAAGACGATAGAAACACAGATTAAACAAACCTTTGATAAATTTGTAAATAGACCAGTACGGACATTGACACCTTTAAATCTACCTCCTCCTAACCAATACCTATCGGATACGTCTACTCAACCATCTCTTTCAGAAAAGAGGAAACGTACTGTTATCCAAAAGGATAATGCGGATGATACCGCAGACGATACTGACGAAAGCTTCTCGTCACAAGCCAGCGGAACATCCTCACTTGCTAAGAAAAAAAAGGGATGGCCGAAGGGAAAACCCAGAAAGCCTCCAGATGATAAGACGATTAGTTCCGATGTAATTGATCTCAACTAGCATTACGTAACGATGACTTCTGTGATATTACTTTGCAAAATGCATTTTTTATCCATATTTTTATACATAGTTATATTTATATCTTTTTATACTCATATATATATTATATACACCTTTTACTTATAGTTACACTTATTTTTCACACAATGTGTTCTATAGTGCAATGGAATATTAATGGATATAAAACGCACCACCCAGAATTGAAATCACTTCTGTTAAATGAGGCACCAATTTGTGCATGCCTTCAAGAAACGCATCTAGCAGAGTCAGACAGCATAAACCTACGTGGATATACATGTTACAGGAAAAATGGCATTAGGAATATTCGTGCCAAAGGCGGCGTAGCGACCCTTATAAAAGAAGATATCCATCTAATGAAATCATGGTTGACTCACAATTGCAAGCAATCGTAGTACAAATCTTCCAGCCAGTTAAACTAACTATATGCAACATCTATCTCCCAGACTTCAGCTGGGAATCAAGACAAATGCGGCAACTTTTTTTCAGTTGCCTACACCTTGTGTCATACTGGGCGACTTCAACGCCCATAACCCATTATGGGGATCAGAGAAACTTGATATGCGAGGCCGCCTTATAGAAGATATCATCAACGAATATAACCTGGTGGTTTTGAACTCAGGATCAGGTACCTTCCTTAATATCCGCTCTCTTAAACTTAGCGCTATAGATCTAACAGTTTGCAGTCCTGAAATTGCACATCTGTTTACTTGGGAAACAATGGACGATCAATTCTCAGATCATCTGCCTATTAGAATAAAATGTGCGACCCGATGTTCAAACTTCTATTCCTCCCCAAAATGGCAAATTAAAAAGGCAAATTGGAGTAAGTTCCAAGAAAACATCAAAGCCCTTGAGTTTAAAGAATCTGTCGAAGAATCTGTGCAACAGCTCACCGAAAATATCTTGGACGCTGCTAAAGTGAGTATCCCTGTTTCAGGTTATACCTCTCCCATTAATATAAAGCCCAGAGTGTCTTGGTGGAATGATAGATTAGAAAGAGCATTGAAAGAAAAACACCATGCACTTAACATATTTAAAAGATACCCTACACAAGAAAATCTTATACGCTTCAAAAAATGTAGAGCTAATGCGAGGAAAATTTTACTCAACAGCAAAAAAGCATCGTGGAAAAATTATGTTTCCTCAATAACCTCTGAGACCCCGACTTCAGAAATTTGGTCAAAGATAAGAGCTATAAGTGGAAGATCATTAACTCTACCAAGTTCTATTCTCATCGTTAATAACCAAGAAATATCCGAAAAGAACGAAATCTTGAATACTTTGGCACAACGATTTCAAATAAATAGTGGGACTGAAAGATATGCTGACAACTTCATCCAACAAAAATGAAGCAGAAGAAGTGGGAATTGACTTCGACGAGGAAAATATATCTGAATATAACCTTCCTGTAACTTTGGATGAACTGGAGTACGCACTCGCTGAGGTCAAAAGCTCTTCACCTGGTCCAGATACTATACACTATGAAATGATACAACACTTACCTGTAAGTGAAAAACAAAAACTACTAGAACTATATAACAAAATATTGATAGAAGGTACTTACCCAAAACAGTGGCAAAACGCAATCATCATTCCTATCCCGAAAGCTGGTAAAGACAGTAAGGATCCCAATAACTACCGCCCCATATCTCTAACATGCTGCCCAAGTAAAATACTAGAAAAAATGACTTAAGGCTTATATGGTACCTAGAGAAACATGGATTATTGTCAAAATATCAAATGGGTTTTCGTAGGTATAGATCAACAACAGATCAGCTAGTCTATCTGGAAGCAGCCATTCAAAAAAGCTTTGCTAAAAGGCAACATACAGTAGCAGTATCATTTGACATTGAAAAAGCATATGACACTACATGGCGGTTTGGCGTACTGAAAACACTGCATGAATGGGGAATAAGAGGATACATACTACGTTTCATTGCAGGCTTCCTAGAACACAGGTATTTTAAAGTACGTATTGGAAAAGAACTTTCAGCATCATACAGACAAGAGAACAGTATTCCCCAAGGTTCAACTCTAAGCGTGACCCTTTTTCTTGTGGCTATAAATAAGCTAATCGAAAAAGTGCCAATAGAAGTCGGGAAATGTATATACGTTGACGACTTAACAAACAATATTTTACTGCAGACAAAATGGAAGATATAGTAGGTACTTTGCAGACATCCATAAATACATTAGCTTACGAGGCCGAAAAAATGGGTTTCTCCTTCTCTCCACAGAAATCAGCATGCATACATTTTTGCAGGCTAAGGAGACATCATGACCCACCAGCTCTGACTTTGAAAGGCACACCAATAGCTAACAGACACCATATAAACATATTAGGCATTACCTTGGATGATAAATTATACTGGAAGAATCATATAGAGGAACTCGTAATCAAAAGTAAAAAGGCCTTAAATATTATTAAATGTCTCTCAAGCATCAGTTGGGAGCAGACAGGGATGTGTTGCTCTCATTATATAAATCAATAGTCATGTCCAAGTTTGAGTATGGAGCAATAGTATACTCAGCAGCAAGACAATCCCATCTAAGTAGATTAGAGAGAATACACAAGGAGGGTATACGGTTATGCATTGGTGCCTTCCGGACATCACCGAATGCGTCCGTTTTTTGTGAATCAGGCATACCTCCCTTAAGCTACAGAATACAGCAGCTGCTACTGAACTATAGCGTAAAAATATGGGCACAACCCCAGCACCCTAACCACAATATATTATTTGAGGAAGAAGAAATTTCAATTTATCGGTCTAGACCATCCATCACAAAGCCCGCAGGTGCCCGCATCCATAAGCTACTCGAGGATTTAGAAACTCAGATGCCCCCAACCTATAGTCTTAAATACATAGATTGCCCTGTATGGAGGCTGTCACTCCCAGAAGTTAACTTCGAATGCGCCAAATACAAAAAAGGCCACACCAATCCTACATTTTATAAACAGACATTTCTTGATATAATTGGTAAATACCAAAACGTAAGGAGAATAATTTATGCGGATGGGTCTAAAACCGAAGGGGGCATAGGATGTGCATTAACAACTACGGAGATAACCCGCAAATGGCGCCTAAGTCCAATGGCCTCAATTTTCTCAGCGGAATTATACGCAATACTTCAATCCCTAAAATTGATTGATGATGAGGAACAGGGCTTATACATAATCTGCAGTGACTCTTTGAGCTCACTGCAAACTATTTCTGACAAATTCAGTAAAAACCCCTTAGTTCAAGAGATTCTCTTGACCACCTACCAGCTCCAACAGAAGAAATCACAGGTCATATATGTGTGGACGCCAGCACACGTAGGAATCCATGGAAATGAAATAGCAGATACAGCTGCCAAGGAAGCCACAATGGAAGAATACCTCAACATACCAGTCGTGCCTGAAGACGTGAAAAAATTCATGAGGTTGCAGCTACTTAATGAATGGCAGCAAGAATGGAACTCAACAAACCATTTTTTGAAGACGATCAAGCCGAACGTAACAAAATGGAATCTTCCCCATCTGACTCGTAGAGAGCAGGTCGTAATTACGCGAATGAGAATAGGTCACACAATTCTTACACATTCCCACATACTTTTAGGTAATCCACCACCAAGGTGTGAGACGTGTAATGAATTGCTTACTTGGAAGCATATACTGATCGAGTGCCCATCATACATAGCTGCTAGAAGAGCACACAACATAGCTGGTGATTTAAAAGGTTGTTTATCCTCTAATGCCAACGTAGGAGATACATTGAATTTCCTTAAATCTACCAAGCTTTTCCGTAAAGTATAACGTTATTAAATAAGATACTACTATGTAGAAATATATTAGATAGCTGTAGGTCTATGATAGATAAGGAAGCACTGGTGTCGGATAAGTAAGTAAATACAGGGTACCCACGCGTATGTGGGTATTCTTATTTACATTTTTTTTTTCTGTGTTTGTCTGTAATAAGTTAATTTTATATGTTTGTTCTTCTTTTTTTATGTATTCAAAAAATCTGAGCTACATCACATAACATCCGAATCACCCAGATTTACCCCTGTGGTGAATGTGGCAATTGACCATATGGGCAGGAGGAAAGCGGCTAATGGCCTTAGCAGTCGATGCCGCTGTGGGCTTAAAAAAAAAAAAAAAAAATAATAATAATAAATCCGATACAGATCCTCGATAAGATCCAACAAAGGTTGTCTGTATACGCAAATCGCCTAAAGCGATATAAAGAGTCGCATCAAAGAAAACTACAAAATAGCATATTTCGCGAACGAATCAAAAGAGGTTCTATCGCTCACTGGAAAAACGAAGATGTAAGTACTACGGGTAAAACTCCAGAAGCTAGAGATGCATTAACATATTGGGCTGACCTATGGGAGAACCCTAAGACTCATAATAATAAAACAAGTTGGCTCGCGGACGAAAAGAGGAAAACCGAAAAAATACCCATGATGCACTACAACGTCATAACTGTGGAGGATGTTAAAAGATCTATAAACAACACGCAGAACTGGAAGGCGCCTGGACCTGATGGCATCCATAACTATTGGCTCAAAAAGTTCACTTGCACACACGAAACGTTAGCGATGATTTGCACAAGCCTCTTGCAAGATCCAGAATCCATTCCAGCATTTCTGACAACGGGAAACACCTACTTGCTTCCTAAAACATTCCCTTCTGTGAGCGACCCATCAAAATACAGGCCAATTACGTGTCTTCCAACCATATATAAAATAATTACTTCAATTTTATGCGATAAAATTTACCAGCACCTTGAAAGGCATCATCTGCTCCCAGAAGAACAGAAAGGCTGCAAAAAGGGAAGTCGTGGCTGCAAAGAGCAACTTACAATAGATACAATCATCACGGAGGAAGCAAAGGGCTGTAAGAAAGATCTGTATGTTGCATACATTGACTATAAAAAGGCCTTTGACAGTGTTCCTCACTCTCTATTAATTGAAATGCTCCAAATATATAAAAT